TACAGTATCGAAAATGATGGATATTTATTATACAATGCTTGAGTTAAATGTTTCATATGTAGCTGAGATAAAATGTAGTTTAATGAGAATTTTTCGGTTAATGTATTGATATATATGTAATGTATCATAATGTTCACACAACTAATGACCGAATAATGTTCACACAACTAATGACTGAATAAATTGTTTTATTTTTAAATTTAAGAATATAATCAACGTCACACATAAAATTTTGTTTATTTCAAGTTAAGATGATGTTGCTTTTTGCATAAGTCATACGAATAACTTTTTACTCGTAATGAGTTACGAGACTCATAATCTATCAAATCGAAAGTATTTCAGAGCTCTACATTCTTGAACTTTCAACGGAGTCGGCTGACCACCCTGACCCCCACTTGGCTCCCCCCTGCTCGCAACTATGGTGGGTCCGTTATTGGACCACACCGATATCGATCGAGTACGTACAAGATCGGATACCAGAGCTAACCAACCGCTCATGAGCTAGAACCGACATAGAACCCCTGGCGAGGGAGGGGTTACGGTACATTTGCAACTTTTCATCTATGAAATATACCAATAGTATAGTTATAGTAGGGATAGTAGCTCAATAATGACAATAATAATAAATTAATAATACTAATAATAACAATAAGAATCCTAATAACATCAACATCAACAACAATAATGACAATAAGTCACCTAAGAAAGTTAGTCATTTTTTTCTTATTCTTCAAGTTCTTCGCAATTTGTTGATTCTGTTACTCTTAAAGTATTCATGGACTTGGGGCTAAATCAAGTTTTTATTATTAAATACACTTGATATTTGAGTGCTGATATTTATGTGTCATTCGGCTAAAAATGCCCACCTAATCTAAACTTTATTTATAAGGACATGATTACTGTTTATTTAATATCATATCTTCATACACGCGTGACCCATCCCTATAATTTAAAAGATTTAAATTGATTTTTAAAGTTTATCCTACAATTCCGTCCAAACCGGTTGGTGGAGGAAGGGTAGACGTGCGGGACCTAAAGGGGTAAAAAGTAAAGCAAACTTAAGGAGTTGGGCTAATTTTTAGAAAAGAAAGAAACAGAGAAAAAGCAAATGCAAGCTTGCCCATACTCTGATCTCACATTCTCCAATCAAACCTTTTCATCGAACTTGTACATTTACGGTCTAGCCACTAAGCCACATGTTAATCTTGGCATCTCCTAATACAATCAAATTAAAAACTTAACCACAAATTATAAGTTTGGTAAGTAACTGAGAGAAATTGACTTTACATTACATTTTCAATTTTTCAGTGATATTAAATTATGCATTTCATTAATAGATACCCCTCAATACCCTATCGAATATAAAATTATTTGATGACCTTATATCTAATGTAATAAAAAATGAAGTGTAAAGTCAAATTGTCTATTTATAAATCTAATCCAGTATTTTTTTCCAGACTTCAACCACATTAGGTGAGAGTATCGGGGAACACGTCCCTAATTTATTAAAATAGAGTTAAAAGTACAAGAGAAATGGATACTTTTGCAAGTATCCATTATTAATTCAGTAAGTTTAGGGACACTTAGTTTGTGTAATTAACAAATTTTCCTTATTGAGGACATTTCCACTAGTTTGTGTACAGATAGAAAATTTTGTGTCAAAGGTGGCAATTTTTAGTACTTTGACACTATTTGTCTATATTGTGTTTTGACTTTTGACACACATATTAGAGCGTCTCTAATGGTTCCTTTTGAGAATTTACTTGCAATTTTAAAGCTAATAACTTAATTATCATTGGAGCACTATTTTTATTTTTGTTTGAGAAAGCTAATTAGCCTAAATGAAAAACTAGCCTAAATTAACAACTAGCTTAATTCAAAAGCCCAATGAATTAAACTAATTAATTTTTAGAACAATATTCAAAAAGCTCAATCAATTGAACTAATTGATTTTTCAGACTAATAAAGCCCAATTAGTTGGACTACTTGATTTATGTAAGATAACATGTTCCTGGACTTGGATGGAAAATACAAAAAAAATGCTGCTCCAGCTAGGAATCGAACACATAACCTCTACATTGCCAATCATGCCTCTACCATCACACCAACGTAACTTTTGTTTACAATAGGACGTTTGTTCTAATTATACCATTTCTTCCCAATACATATATAATATATATATATACTAGTAATTTCTTTTTTTTTTGAGGTGGGGCCTAGGCCTTCTCTGGCCCTATGCCAGATCCGCCCCTGCTTTTAACGACTAATATCTTAAGAAAACACAACAAAAAGTATAAATGAAAATTATGGTATGCAACTATCATTCCATAATATTTGGTCCGTTAAAGATTGGTAAAAAATGTAAGATGGGTGACAAGAAGTCAAGAATAGGGACCAAAAATCCCTGAAGTTATAAGTACAATTTGATCCAAAACTGGAAAAGAAGATACAGTATCATAAAAATTGTAGGAATGAATTAGATGAATGTTGGTGACGATGATGTCATGGAAATGTCACGTTGACATCATTAATTTTAAATTTTGATTTTAAAATTTGTTATGGGGTTTGTAGCGTGGACGGTCAGTCATGAGATCAATTGTTCATAAGAAAGGTACATTTAACAAATGTATACGAACAATGATGACTATTTTATTTGTCCCCACTCTTTTCTTTGGTGTTATTTTTTGGTTTCATGTATGTGACTTCAGTCATGAGATCAATTCTTCGTAAGAAAGGTACATGTTTCGTTCTTCTCGTCGTTAAGTGTACGGTCCCGGCGCTGTTGAAAAAAAACTTCAGTTATCCGGAACTTAGCTAATATTTATGTGTTTTATTAGAGGGTATGTTTGCAAACGCTTTAAAAAAAATGTTTCTTAATTTTTGGCTTAAAAAAAGCTAAGAAAGTGTTTTCAAATGACAACTTCTACTTAGAAAGTGTTTTTCGATTTTTTGCTGAAAATTGTTTTTTACTTTTTCTATCATACAAAAAGCACTAATTTTACCAAACGCTACCAACTTTTACTCTTCAAAATCACTTATTTCTTAAATACTACCAACTTTTATTATTAATCACTTTTTTAAGATCACTTCAAAAAGTGCTTTTTTAAAAGCAAAAGCATTTGCAAACACTCCCAATTGTTTTTTTTCTTTTTTTGAATCATTCGATCTCTATTTTTTCCGCAGAAGTATTACACCCTTTTAAAGCTAAGTATAAATTTTTAAAGTATTACACCTTTTTATATTACCTCCATCCAACATTGAGATCGATAAAGTTGTTATGTGATTGATAGTGAATAGAGATAAGTAGGAGAATGATTTAATTTACAATCACGCAAACTTTAACAAATTTAATATGAGACATCTTTAATGTGACGGATCAAAATGAAAAAAAGAAACAATAAATAATAAGGGGATGACGGAAAAGCACACAATGTTTCAATTGGCTGATTCTTCCATCTTACCAAATGAAGTTGTTCCATACATTTATTTATCACTTTAATTTAGATTTATGGCTGGTTCTTGCATGGGCTTCTTCTACTCCATCAATTTAATTCCCTCACATTTAAGATAATCACGTTTACCCATTTCACATTGGTTCATGTGTAAGAATTAGCTTCGTGTTGTAGATCTGGTAGTGTTTGATCAATCGTTTTCCCAAGAGCTATGCTAGAAACCCCATGACACGCGTAAACCTAGCTGACAGATTATCCGAGCAGTTCATATTCACTTCTTTCAAAGGTTTGAGATGGGTTCCGTGGAGACTAGGAGTAGTCCGGCAAAGTCTTGCTCCAAAAGGTTGAATCTCCCATCCCAAGAGCCCCTCACCTCGACCCGACAGGATGATGGGGAGGTTAATCACAGTCACTCAGTCACCAAAGCGGCGGTAGGCCTTATACACGTGTGCACTAGAGGTCCAACCTTATTTCAGGTTCTGTCACTTGGTCCAATTTCTCTACCACTCGACCAACTGAGATACCCGTACGGGTGTAGTCTGGAAAAGTCGGAATTACCTAGTGCTAACAAAAAAATGTAGTACTATATAAACTATTGTGTAACATTTGAGATTAAGTTAAAGGGATTAATATATAGTACTACTCATACCAAAAAAGTTGCTTCTCATTTTAAGGAAGCTCATAGGCTAAGATAAGAACTCCAAGTTAAGAGTCTTGGGATGAGTGACCCCTGGAAATTTCTCAAGGCACACACGAGTGAGGATAAAGTTTGCGATAAAGGCTTGTGTTGGAAGGGGCGGAGCCAAGACACTGGGCCGGTACAAAAAATACATTTGAAAAAAAATTACACGTATTTTTTTACCTTAAAAATATAGACATTTTTAAAATTTGGACTGGACCGAGACCAGAGTTAGCCCCTCCCTAGCTACGCCCATGTGCGTTGGTTTGCGAGGACAGTACTAGAGATCTGGAGAGTATCCAGGAATAACTATCTCAGGTCATATGGGGTCGGGTGTCACATACTCCCTCTTATCCAATTTGATTTATAAATTTCCCGTTTTTTATGTTCGAAATTGATTTTTCACTTTCTATATTAGGTATGGAAAAATGAATTGAGCAACAAACCAACCCTTACAGAGTTACACTTATTATCCTTATTTTACCCTTTTTTATTTACTTAAATGCATCAACTGTGGGTGTGTTTGACATTTAACGGTTAGTGATTAGAGGATAGCAGATTATGTTAGCGAGTTAATAATAGCGGATTCAATCAACAGGATTGACTAGTGGAATAAGTTAGGAAGTTGTTAGGAGACGTTTGGTAATAATTTAGCTGTTTGACCATAACAATTAGTAGAAAATGTCATATTTTGAAAAAGCTAACCCAAAACTCTCATATTTATTTGCAATGTTTCTATTTCATGGGTTCCATCCAAAACCTCTAGGGGTGAACTTCTATTTACCAAATAACGTTTTCACTTATTGAAAACATTAAAGGGGTCAAACCGCCATTTTTTCTATTACCTTCTTTAATTCTTGAACGAGTCATCTTTTACGAATCAAATTGGGACAACAATCTTTAAATTTAGCAAAGTTTTTAAAAAGACCACAATTTGAAATGCTTTTAGGGAGTAAATCTTTTTGAATTCAAAGAAAAGAAAAAAGAGTACAAGTTGTCGTTGTCCAAAAGCATGTGGTGGCTATAGGAGAACCATATAATCAATCATACCATTCCTCCCCCGGCCTGCCTGTAATTGCAGAGCCAACAGTGGAGATCAGCTTTGGGTAATAACTGCCGCATGCACTTTTGCTTCACCTACATATCAATTCAATTCCCGAGTTCCCATCACCATGCATATATATACCTCTAAAGTCACACACATTCAGATAGATTTGAAAAAGAAAACCCTAACTTCATTTATTTCATTTTAATAATATGGTAACTTGAAGTTTACTTAAATTCAAGGAAGCAGCTTAGTATATATGTCTGTGATGATTTCTTGTTTTCATTGCTGCCGCGGCTTATATTATTAAAGCTTATAATGAAGAGGCAAAGAAAAGGATGGAAAAGAATGGAGCAAGGGTTTTCAGGTTTTGGGGGAGAAAGAAAGGGGTAGCTAATAGTAATTAACTATATAGATTACTTTAATCCCTCCCCTTTTTTTTAATTATTTGTGCTTTGTGCGTGTATATGTGTGGGGGGTGGGGGTGGGGTATAAGAACTGTTTGTTTTGATCTGTTCAGCTTGGGATCAGAGGTTGAGCTAATAAGCCTCTTAAAATCCTCCTTCCAAACACTACTTCTCTTTGCTCCATCTCACAAACATCATTCTTCATAGTAATCAAGAAGTAGTAATAGTAATCATAATAACAATTATTATTAAGATTGTTATTATTAATATTATTATTCGATGGATTATGCTTACCTCCATAATCACCACCACCAAAATCATCACCAGTTCCTCCACCAAGATCATCAGCTTCCTGTAATTCTTTCCCCTCCTCCTTCTCTAGCAAATAATATTAACTGTAGTATACAGAATTCCCTATCATCATCTTGCTATGGAGATTCTACAACTACATGGACCCCAAACAGTAACACCATGTGAGTCTTTTTCTCTCTCTTTTTCTTGAGCTAAAGCTCTCCTTTTTTCAACTTTTCCCTACTTGATCTTTGTTTGATTTGATGTGTGCCATGTTTTAAAAGAACCCAAATTAAAGCTTTGATTCACTGTTTGTTTAACAAAATTAAACCATCTTTCTTTGCTGGATTGGTTTCCCTAATTAGGGTTTACATATTGTTATGTTTCAAGAAACAGTGGCGGCAGTTGTTTGAGTTCATTACTTTTATATCCAAACAATACTCTCAGCAGCTCAGTAAACCATCCTCAGCAACAACAAGAGGAGGTCAACATGACCACCCAAGAGTTGACTTTTAATCACTGGCCGGAGGAGGCGGCTTTTAGCGGCGGCGCAATGAAGCAAGAACTCTCACCGGCGGCGGATCAACAGTTCTTTTGCTCCACTAATGGTAAAAGAGGAGGAAGCACTGGAAGCAGATTTATAAGTCAGATATACCCAACCATAAACGTTCCCAGCTTGAACCATAATAATAATCAAGAATTAGAAGAAGCTGCGGCTGTTAATTCCTTGGGGAATTCCAGGTCTTTGGGGATGAACAACTTGCAAGCTTTGGATCTGTTCAATTCTGAGCATCATCAACAGTTTGGGTTTCAAAGCTTTCCTGGGATTGATCACTATCATCATAATTTGCAGCAAGCAACTCATCAAAGGACATTGTTTGGTAACAACTTTCACAATGTAAGCATACTTTAATTCATTACTCCGTTATATATTTCATCTCCAAAGGGAAACATTAAAGAGATTGGAAGAGGCATATAAATGTGTAGTTCGTGAAAATTTTATTCAAGAATTTGATAAAAATAGACAAATTTCTTAGCTAGATACACCTTTAATTGCTACAAATCATTATTGTTGAGGATCGATTCTATTAATATATTAACAATTATTTACTCCCACATCCGTTTTTTTTATATTTGATGTTTCAGAATATCACACAAGAGGAATAAAGGGGTTTCTAAAGTGTGCACATGTGTTAGATGTTAAAGAAAGAACTAATGTGCATGTAAATATGTAATTCCTTTAAATTTAGTTTTTTAAAACTCTTTGGCTAGCAGTGATATTACATATTTTTTTTTAGATACGGTGATAATCATACCAATCTTTTAAATCATACTCCGTATTTATTTTACTCTACAAATAATCAATTCTTTTTATTTAAGCTTGGACATGAAATAGACTATTTTTTAATTACCATGTCTCAATTAGCATATACTAGTATATACTACATCCGTCTCAAATTGATTTGCAAAATTGATTTTTTTTGTCAAACATTGTCATTTTATTCACTTAACTAGGATGTCAATTTTTAATTATAGTCTAATTTGAAGTTTGTATATTTGAAGAAATTTCAATGTAGTTTTTGAATATGTAAATTTTAATTATTAAAAACTAAATTAATTTTTAATATGAAAGATTTAACTTTAACATTGGTTGACGAAAAATGTTGACTTCGAAAACAAATTTGGGACGAAGGGAGTATTAGAAAGACATGCTTAATGAAAAGTAGGTCTTAAAATGTGTGAATACCAAAATGCTAAAACTAGCCATTAAGGGAGATTCATTAAAACCAGCAAGAGTATCCCATAAAAACAAATCTAAAATGCTAAAATGTTGAACAACAAAAGAGCTGATAAGAATATCATTTACTTTCTCTATTTCCAAAAACGTTCATAGTTTAATTTCACATGTTATTGATATAAAAATGGGAAAATTTGACTTTGCACCTTATGTTTTTGGTGATAATGAACTTTAAACTAAATTTTCAAAACCAATAATGTGTGCATTCCATCAGTCCAAAAATTTGGAGTGAGTGCAAAGTTAAATGATTTTATAGTGAATTGGAGTGTATACATTAATACTTTTAAAAATAAGATACAAAGTCAAATATCACTCAAAAATGATGTACAAAGTAGAATTCTCCCTATAAAAATTCTTATGATTCACATTCTAGAATGCCGTCAATTTAAAATTGTGTGGGAAAAGAATAATTAATTTATGGTGTACTATTATATGTGCACAGTAAAAACTCGCTACTCGGTATTTTATTATCAACATATCCCCAAAAAGGTATGAACTTAATTTTAATAATCATGAAGTGGAAACTTATAACTTAGCTTATAAGATGTGTATATATGTAGTCTACGAGTTTGAGAAGGGTTGAGGAAGTTATGTACAGATTGAGTTTTAATAACGTACTTCCATTTGACTTGCACGTTTAATTGTATATGATTTTATGGTCAAGATATTTAATTCATTTTTTCCATAAACATTAGTAGTGGATGCTTTAAAAGTTTACATTCAGCTAATTTAAACGAAACAAAAATTAAAGAATTGTTGAAAATATGAGCAAATAGACAAAGTTCTTAATTAAATATGATTAAGTATGTTTTGAGAAGAAAGAATATAAAAATAGGAGTCTGAAGTCCTATTTTGAGAAGAAAGTATTATTGGCTATGTTTTAATCATATTTAAGGAATTTTATGTTATACTTCAAAACAAAATATGCTAAAAGCATTAAGCATGTTATGTGAATGCTTCAAAAGTTAAAGTGCTACCGTAAAAAAGAGTAGATGAAATATACGGTACGGCGGTACCTAGGACAAATAATAGTATATTGACTAATTACTAAAAGAAATAAACTTAATATAACATGCGGTTCCCAATATTTTCACCTCACATTTTTCGTAACACTAAATAGCAGGAAAAAAAAATACCTTTCAATTTTTTTCCTAAGACTAAAAAATTAATACGTAGTACAACGTATATCTTTAACGTAATAACATTGTAGTCCATGATAATATCTTAAGCTTTAAGACTTGAATGTAACCATATCTATTACTCCGTATCTAGTTAGCTCATATCATTAAGACATTATATATATCTATGTAGGAAGATAATTAGTTTTGGAGTATAGCTTAGGTAGCTTGATGATGCATCATCATGGAATATAATACTCCCTCTGTCTCATTTTACTTAGTCAAACTTGACTTTTCAATTCAATGACGACTAACTTTGAGAGATTATATGTTTATATAGAGAAAGTATTAATAATATGAAAATGATATGAAAATGTTTTTGTTAAAAATACTATCATAAAAGTACAAAATTATTAAATTTTGCATAAATATATTAGTTTAAATAATTGGTCAAAGTTTACCAACTTTGACTGGAAAAGTCAAAGATGACTAAGTAAATCGGGAGGGAGGGAGTATTGATTAACAAAGAAACATACATATGCAGAAAAGCATCATGTCTTTTCTTGCATTGGCTTTTATTTAACTTTAGACCAAAACGAAACAAAAGCAAACCTTTTCTTTTATGTGGTTAAAGCCTAGCTAGCTCAGCTTTATTCACCACACACACATATATTAGTAAACATCCCTCTTTATTTATACAAATTTTTCTCTTAAAATAATATGTGCCTCTCCTTTTTCAGCTAATGAGTCTTTTTACACACATGCATACATGGAATTGAATACTAGCTAGCTGGTCATCATGATTAATTAATGCAAAAAGTCCAATCTTTACTAATTAATAAATTTGAACCTTTGAAGATATCAGCAGCCTTGTCCTGCAATAACAATGCCACAGCAGAGGCAAAAAGGCAAGGCAATGGTGTGGAGCCAAAGCCACCTCAAGCACCACTTATTAAGAAATCCCGACTGGATCCGCGTGTCTCCTGTCCGCCCTTTAAGGTATATATACATACACCTATTATATAGCTAGGTATTTCAGTCAAAAAAACATAAATAAATTGCTTTATATTTTGTCATTAAAATATATTTTAAAAATATTTTGTTCTTAAATAAGCAGAATCAGCCAATGCAGCTACTTCAGGCAGAACTTCATAAATTTCATCAGAATTAGCCGAATCAGCCGATTTTCGTGTTACCAAACGGGCTCCTAATTTTCTATTATTTCATCCGATTTTTTTTAACATCTCACTAACCCATGATTTTATTTCTAAAATTTTATAATAACCCTAGTGGAACGGACAAAAGTAATCCTTCTATTAGATTCTTGGCACTTTAATTAAGAAATGTGAAAATTGTTTAGTAAAAAATATACATAGAGAATGAAAATATATATAGATTCTTGGCCTTAATTAAAAGAAAAGAAGTGTTTGTATTGAGAGGAAGGAAGTCCGGTCATTATGCATTTGGATTGATCTATTATTATTAATCGAACAATATGCTTTGCCCTAATTAATTAATGCGGTATATGTATAATTAAGTTAATTAATTACTATGGTTGTTATACATATGAGACAGGTGAGAAAAGAGAAGTTAGGAGATAGAATTGCAGCTCTTCAACAGTTAGTAGCACCTTTCGGCAAGGTAATCAAGAGCTATTTTCTTTCTTTAATAAAATCATTTTTCTACCGGAGCATTTTTTTTGCTGTGGGTCCCATAAAAGAGATATGCTTAGAGATGTGTTTTTAATTTATTTTTGAGAAATTGAATATTAATTTAGTCTCGTAATTTAGGTGACAACTTTTCTAGTGCCGTTTTTGGTTAGCTTGAAATGTTACATTTGAACACAAAAGTGTTTAATGTGGACGAATTCATTACATACTCCGTATAGTATAAGATATGGTCTATATAGGTAGATAAAGTTACGTGACTAGTAATAAGTACGGTAGTATGTGCATAAGTTGTGGGACTGAAAAAAAAAGTTATATAAAAAAGAATAAATACCATGCTATATAGTCCATCCATATATATTTACATGCAACTAGGTACAAAAGTTTGGAGTACCCATATTGAGAGAAGAAAGGAAAATTATGAGAAGAAATATAAAAGGTAGAAAATATAAGGATATTTATGTATTTGTAATGAGATAAACTTATATTAATAGGGAAATGTTGCAAATCCTCCGTACTTAGATATTTTCGAAAAAGGAATACGGTTCAATTTGCATGTATATAATATGGTGCACTACAATTTTTTTTTGAGATTTGCACGAATTTGACACGAATTTATTGATGAATTCGTGTCAAATAGCTCCTCACGAACTGTTTTTGACAAGGATTTGACATATTCTAAAATCTCTGCCAATTTTAGAGAATTCCTGTCAATTTCGTGTTTTTTTATAGTGGGAGAAGTATATTATAGATTAACGCTTGTAATTTTTTGTTATCATTTAGTTGTAACAGTTACACTTTTACATTGATCAATAGATCGTATTGAGCATTAATATATTTAATGGGAAATTTGTAAAAATATAAAAATGTCATATTTTAAAACTATAAATAAATAGATTTAAGTTGTTTGTAGTTGGACTAGTTTCAGCTCGATCTAGATCAGATTAGAACATACTAGACAACACTTAAACAGATCAGACCAGGCTAGACCAGACTTAAACATATTAGATCATATCAGATTAGATTTAAATAGACCACATCAGATTAGACAAGGCCAAAAATTTCAATCCCGTTAAAAACATTCTTAATATTTTTCGTAATATAATTCTTAATACAATATGTGATAAAAAGTATGAGAATTATTTAAAGAGAAAACAAAGTTTCTCAAATATATTGTTCATTATTTTATTCCTATAAATGATTGTTTATTCCTTAAAGAAAAAGTTTTATTATATCTATTCTCTAATTAGGTGTAAATAAGTCATATTTTGGGAGTAAAACATAATTAGTTTTAATTGTGAACTTTACCTATGTTTTACATATATTTCAAACAGTTTTCTTTGATTGACAATGAAATTGCTATAATTCTTTTTTTAGTTTGAAGTGATCTGAATATGATGCTTTACCTAACTCTCGTAACAGTCCTAACTATTAGCAAAAATCATTTCTCGGAAGAATTTAAAGGTTAGCAAGAAGACATTCTAAGCGCAGCATGGGGTCCAAATTTGGACGGCACGAATTTGACGTACAATTTGTGCTTCTGTATAGTGTATAGGTCTAAATCGAACAAACATTCTTCACTCTAGTACACAAGTTATTTAATTACATGCCTGCCCTCTTATCTTTGGTCACCCCATTTTAAAGGATTAATTAGATTTCATTTTAATTTTTTTAAGGATGTTCAATACCTTTAGCAATATACTTAGTGTACAAAGAATTAGTACATAATCGTACACAACCCTAGTTGTCTGTGTAGTGTGTACACAGACAATTCATTTGAAAAGTGATTGTATTTTATGTCAAGATGCATGAGTCTCAAGCAGTGTACAATTTGTGTACACCAAGAACTTCTCTAACCATTACTTTCCATGTTTTTTAAAATTTTGTCAATTTTCCTTTTTTGGATATCTCACTAACTTTGTCATTTTACTTTTTAAGTAAAGAATTTATGGTTTCATTTAATTCTCTTTTCTTTGCACAAACTTCAATCAGTAATCACACAATTTTTACTGTATTAATCCTTGTGCCGGTCAAACACAAAGTTTTAAAGGAGGGATGAAGTATTATTGATCTTATTATTGTTCCCCATATATATGTGGGTTTAATGTTGAGTACATTTTGCAGACAGATACGGCATCCGTATTGATGGAGGCCATTGGGTACATCAAATTTCTTCAAAACCAAGTTGAGGTAACAAGTCAAATCCATTTTGTTTCACCTGAGATAAGTCATATCAAGTTAAATTTAAATAGACAGAGAGCGAGTTCTACAAAATTAAGTTCAAACAAATCAAATCAAATTAGTATATTACCTAATACTCCGTATCACATAATCAAATTTTGATGAAATAGGACTCAAACTATATTAGCAAATTCAGCACTACAGAATATATCCTTCACACATGTGATGATAAGAATAAGGAATCATGTTATAACCCATAACTCATTATAAGAATAAGGAATCTTGTTATAAGTCAGTTTCAACATACTTGCAAGAAAAAGTTACAAAAGAGACACGTGCCATATATAATTGTACTAGCTTTTCCACACATCAACTTAATTATGCAGCTATCACTCTAAAAAACAACGAAATTGACACGGTTTTAGTCCAGATCTTTGTCATGGATTTGTCAAAATTCATACAGTATGGTACGGATACTTAAAATTCGTGTCATATTCCGTGCCAATGCCATTTTGAAACAAATTATTTGGCACAGCACCGTTCCAAAAACATGTTATGATCCGTGTCAATCTCGGTCAATCCATGTCAATACCGTGTCCATATCATTTTCTTGTAGTGTACGTAAATCATAAGGCCCACATTATTGTTTTGTAAATTTGTACTCCCTCCGTTCCTAAAAGTTTTGCCAAGTTTGATCGGCACGTTGAATAATAAAGTAAAAACTGTGTGGTAGAGATTTGTGTAGAGGAGAGAGAAATAACATGAACCACAAATTGATTGATTAAAAGGAAAAGTGTCAAAGTTTTTGGGACAACCAAAAAAGGAAAGTTGGCAAAGTAAAGATATTTTGAAAGATAAATGAAGATAACATTATTGAAAGATATTTTCTCGTTGAGTATGTTTGTAGCTTAGCACTCACATTGTTTGAATAGAAAAAGTAAAGAACAAAGTTATTAATCTCTATTACATGATCTTATTACCATATCAAGACCAAACTCTTATTAGTGTCCGACTGTCTTCTCATTATTAAGTTGTTCAACACCGATTACGTATACAAATACCAATCAGTACATAAAATTTGGACTATTCCTCCTTCCAGCTTGACCTTTTAGGATAAAACCCTAAAAATTGATGCAGTATCAGAGTAAATTAAGCTCCAATGAGAATTATATTGTGATAAGGGTCTAGAATGACTCTTCCTATCAAATGGACTTTTAGGATGAAACACAAAATAATAATTAGCTAGATAATATAAACTATGCCCATTCAGCCCGGCCTTAATCATGTTTATTGTCACGTGTAAAGAAGCATGTGATACTATTATGACTAGGTATGCAAGTGTCTCTCTTGGCCATATACTATTGTTAAAATCACAAGTACTTAATTAGGGATGAATAATCTGTGTAGTATGCTGTATGCCTTGCGATTCATAGCTTGCCCCAAACTTATGTCCATATAAATTATTTTGCTTTTTCAATATATTGCTGACCACTTTAACACATACTTATTTGTCAGACTTTAAGCGTGCCGTATATGAAATCATCACGCAATAAGGGTCGTGGTACAACCATGCAAGGGGTGAGAGAGTCTTTACTCTATATGTGTTGTTTTCTCCATTATTCATAGCGTGCATGAGAATGAATAATGTTGGAAAGTTATGTTGAAGATCCTTAAATAGGACTATATGTTTATTCCTGTAATTTATGTATATCCCCGTTTTTTAAACTTAGGTCATTAGACTAATAGATTTTGACTTTGAAGTAGATGAGAAATAAAAAAAGTAAAAATTGTGTAATTGAGATTTGTCCATGCACAGGAAATAGAAATGAGCAAAACCGAAATTAGTTGCTTTAATTGGATACTGATAAAGTTGGCAAAGTCTAATGGGATGGATCAGAGCTGATAGAAAATTTGACGTCCTGACCGCTTATATAGCCTATTATTATTTTACTATCAATTGAACTTGCTGGTGAAAAAGGTTCTTATGAATTTCATTTGATACCATTTTTATGTTATACATAATTCCCTATTGAATATATAGTTAGTAAAATATTAACTTCATTGACAAAAAACTCAAAGATGACAAAATTATAAGGGACGAATATCATATGCGGCTCTAGGTGACCCACCCATAATTTAAAAAATGCCTATATTTTTAAGGTAAAAAAAATATGGGAAACTTTTTTCAAAAATATTTTTTTGTACCGACTCATTCCGGCAGAGCGCCTTGACTCCGCCCTTGACGAAAAAAAATATTGATTCCTACTTTAGAAACCTTGTACTCCTCTAGAGAAGGCACCTGTTTTGGGAAGTTTCCTACTTTTACTCTTTAATGACCTATTGTAGATGATATATACTACGTATTCGTGAAAGAACAAACATAATTAAATTTGAAGAGCCGTGTTAGATGTACACTTTTTCGTGTACACCTTTCCGGTCCTATATAGTTGTCTGTTGTCTACGTACAAATAACTCTATGTGTGTAAGACAGACAAGTGTCCGAAAGGTGTACCCGAAAAAATGTACACCAAGCATTTTTCAAATCTGAAAAGGATTCATTATAGATCATTCTTTTTTCCTGAATGAATTAGCAGTGGGGCCAGCATGAAGACAACATTGAAACAGAAGAAACAAGGAGAAGAGGGGATCTTAGGAGCCAAGGGCTTTGTCTTGTACCATTGTCATGCATGTCTTACGTTGATGACAGCTGCGGCAGCGGCGGCGGCTTCTGGCCTCCTCAGAACTTCGGTGGATCTTAATCAAACAGCGGCACGTGGGTTGCATGTGTCATGTCGTGCTCTAATTAAACCATGCATACTGGTTTAATTTATTAGAGGCTAATTAGCTGTTGAATAAGGATTTATTAGATATGTTTATTTTGTACTCGCCATATTGATTAATGGAGCAAGCTTGGTCATTCTGTATGGTCAAAAGAGCCACCTTAAGGATGGACCAAGTTTGATCCATTGAAATTATATATTGGCTTTTTTCTATTATTGCTTCATTATCACAAGACTCTAATCATGCATTTATGTACTGCATGGCACTCTTATCTACCCTAATAACTTCAAAAGTGCGGCTTTCATTGGTTACTTATTGCTTTGCTCCATATAAAATAAATCTGATTCGGAGCGTGCATTCTTTTACGGAGTACGGAGTATTTGTTAAATCATATACTATCGTATGAAATATGATCGATTAAGATTCATACGGAGTAGTTAAGTCAAATTTATTAGAATAGTACTCGAACATATAGATTGTTTAACGTTTGACTAAAAATCATAACTTAAAGTCACCCTTGTTGTAGTTAAACTTGTTAATTTTATTTATTAGTATGTTTTATATTTGCTACGTAGATTAGTAAGTTAGTTTACATTATTCAGTTTTCAAACTTGTATTTAGTGGTTCATGTACGTACGTTTAGTGGATGTTTTTTAGCCCACTTTGTGTAACTAACCCAAGGCATTTCTCCACTCTATATATGGAGGGTTGCATTGGCTGTGATGTTTATATTGAGAAGGTTTTTCCACCAAATATTAATACAATATAAAGTTATGAGTATACTAGATGCAATCTGAGTTCATGCATGGGATTGTCATACGTAAGAATGTGATCAATGCATGATGATGATTACGTATGTTGTTTATTTCCTTTGTATAGTTTGAGAGTCTAGTTTCTACACTTGGTATCAGAGCTACGGTTAAGAGGGTCCTACATATCATGGTTTCAACAACGTCTGAGGCAAATCATGAAGGAAGTGGTGAAACACATGGAGAGTTTACCCATGAAGAACCTGTGACATTCAAAGACAAAGAAGGGAGTGTCACACTGAAATATCCAATGCTGAATAGAAGTAATTATGCAGCATGGGCCATTAAAATGGAAGTGTTTATGATGGCTCAAGATGTATGGGATGCAGTGGAATCTGATGAACCCATAGATAGAAGAAAAGACAAAATGACATTAGCTGTTATATATTATCAAGGAATAGGAGAGGACACACTAATGCAGATAGGTGCAAGGAGGACTGCAAAAGAAGCTTGGTCTATGCTCAAGACCATGAATCTTGGAGCAGAAAGAGTGAAGGAAGTACACACTCAAACCTTATGGAGGGAATTTGAAGGCATGAGAATGACTGATGCAGATGGCATAGATGAATTTTCAGGTAAGGTTCAAATTATTGTCAGTAAACTAAGAGGTCTTGGCAATATAGTTGAAGAGGAGCAAGTAGTAAAGAAACTACCGAGGGATGCTTCCCCTATGTTCCTTCAAATTGCATCCACAATTGAGGAGTTCTGTGATCTTAAACTTAAGACCTCAGAAGAAATAATAGGGTCATTCAAGGCACTTGAAGAAAGGTTGCAAGGACATAGTAGTTCAAATGAGGAGATTGTCCTACTTACAAGAGCATAGTGGAAAGCAAGGGAAGAAACTAAAGTTTCTAGAGATCAAAGTACCTCAAAGGGAAGAGGTAGAGGTCGTGGCAGAGGTAGAGGACATAGCAGGAGCAAGACAGAAGAAAAACAAAAATCAAATGTTACAATTGTGGGAAAATGGGTCACTTTGCTTTCAGAATGTTTATCAAATGATCAAGAAGAGGAGGTGAATTTGGCTGAAAAGGAAGAAGAAGAGGAACATCCATCAGTGATGATTATTGAAACATGTGAATTGACAAAATCACATGTTTCCCATGGAAGAATATCACAGTCAGACCAAGTAAAAGAAGAGAGAATTGAAGCTTGGTGGTACTTGGATACTGGAGCTAGCAACCATATGATAGGTGTGAGGAGTTACTTTACAGATCTGGACACATCTGTTCATGGAAAGGTGAGATTTGGTGATAACTCTGTGGTTAGTATACAAGGGTTAGGGTCAGTAATGTTTCACTGCAAAACTGGTGAACATATGATTCTAACCAATGTATACTATATACCAAAGCTCAAAAGCAACATCATTAGCTTGGGGCAATTGGATGAATCTGGAGGACAAGTGACTCTAAAAGATGGTGTTCTGAATGTACTTGATACTCAAAATAGGCTTCTGTTCAGAGTAGAGAGGAATCAAAGCAAGCTCTTTATGGTAAATCTTAAACTAGCTCAGAAGACATGCTTGATGACTAGACTGGAAAGCTCAGATTGGCTCTGGCATGCAAGATTTGGACATCTAAATTTTCAAACTCTGAACAAAATGTCTATTCAGAGAATGGTTGAAGGAATGCCTAAGATCAATCAACTAAATCAGGTATGTGATGGATGCATGATTGGTAAAGAACATAGGATACCATTCTCTCAGAAAACATGTTTTAGAGCACAAGAAAGGTTGGAATTGGTTCATGGTGATCTCTGTGGACAAATTAAACCTTCTAAATCAGGAGGGAAAAACTATTTTATGCTTTTAGTAGATGATTATTCTAGATTCATGTGGATATCACTACTAAAACAGAAAGGAAAGGCATTTGAAATGTTCAAGAAGCTCAAATACAAAATGGAATCAGATGCAAATAGAAAATTGCAATGCTTCAATACAGGGATGGAGAATTCACATCACACAACTTCAGGTCATTCTGTGAACTAGAAGGAGTGAAAAGACACCTAACAGCACCTTACTCACCCTAGCAAAATGGAGTAGTGGAAAGAAGAAACCAAACTGTCATAGAAATGGTTAGAAGCATGATGAAGAGCAAGCTGATGCCTAACAGATATTGGGGTGAAGCAGTGAGTACAGCAATCTATATCCTAAATAGATCATCAACAAGAATTCTTGATGGTAAAACCCCTTATCAAGCCTTGTTTGATAAAATTCCTAATGTAATCCATTTTTGTGGATTTGGGTGCCTGGCACACATCAAAGTAGTAACACCTTATTTGCAAAAGTTGGAAGATAGAAGCACTAAAGGAGTCCTCCTATGATATGAAGAGGGGAGAAAAGCCTACAGATTATTGGATCCTATACAAGACATGATAATAATATGTAGAGATGTGAAATTTGAGGAAAACAAAGGGTGGACATGGAATGATGAAAAGGGCAAAGAATCAGGATAAGAAGATATTTTGAAACATGTGTCAACAAATCTGACCCTGAGAGGATAAGAGATGAACCAAGGACAGAAGAAGGGGAGAATAATGAATATTCTTCTCAGGGACCATCCTCAGACACAGACAGGTCTTATTCCAGTTCTAGTGAGGAACCTCTGCACTTTAGGTCCTTACAAGACATATATGATGCAACTAGAGAAGTCTCATAAGAGGTAAGCTTGTGTTTTTTGTCCATTGATGAACCAGAATGTTTTGAAGAAGCTGCTAAGAAAGAAGAATGGAATCAAGCTATGGCCCTAGAACTTGACTCAATTCAGAAGAACGGAACTTGGGAACTAGCTGATCTTCCTAAAAATCACAAGACCATTGGCCTGAAATTGATATATAAGGTGAAGAAAGATCCAGAGGATAATATCACAAAGTACAAAGCCAGGCTAGTTGCTAAAGGGTACATACAAAGGTATGGTATTGATTACATGGAAGTTTTTGCTCCAGTGGCCAGGATGGAAACAGTTAGATCTCTGTTAGCACTCTCAACTCAAAAGGAATAGCAAGTACATCATAGGGATGTAAAAACAACCTTCCTTAATGGAGATCTGAAGGAGGAGGTATATGTTAATCAACCGGAAGGATTTGTTGACAAGAAGCATCCAAACAAAGTGTTAAGATTGCACAAGGCTTTATATGACTTAAAACAATCTCCTAGAGCCTTGAATGAAAAATTAGACAGGTGTTTGAAGTCAATGAATTTCAAAAGATACCTATTTGAACATGTTATATACATGAAGACCACAGGTACAAATGTTGTGATTGTTGTTGTATATGTTGATGACTTGCTTTTGACAGGATCATGCCTGAAACTCTTACAAGAATTCAAATTGGAAATGAAGAAAAGGTTTGAAATGAGTGATCTAGGATTACTTAGTTACTATCTTGGTTTGGAAGTAAAGCAAGATGAAGATGCCATCACCATATGTCAAACAAGCTATGCAAAGAGAATCCTTGAAAGAATGGGAATGGAGGAATGCAACCCCTGCAGTGTGCCAATGGAGCTCATAAGCAAGTTTGGTGAAGCAAGTCCAGTTGATCCTACATTATACAGAAGTGTTGTAGGGAGTTTAAGGTATTTGGTTAACTCTCGTCCTGATCTTGCCTATTCAGTTGGTATTGTTAGTAGATACATGGAAAAGCCCACCATAACACATATGAGTTCAGTGAAGCAAATATTGAGATACATTAAAGGAACTGTTGATATGGGTTGTGTGTTTAAACGATGGCAAGAAAATGAAGGTCTGGTAGGGTATTGTGATGGTGATCTGGCTGGAGACATGGATGACAGGAAGAGCACAACTGAAATTTGCTTCTTTTTGGGTGAAAGTCCTATAACCTGGGTATCTCAAAAACAGAAAACTGTTGCTCTTTCTTCTTGTGAAGCTGAATATATAGCTACTACAAGAGGTGCATGTTAAGGGATTTGGCTTATGCAATTGATTGGAAGCTTGCAAGGAATAGTCAGGGTCAAATCGGTTCTGAAAATAGACAATAAGGTTGCTATAGCATTGGCCAAGAATCCAGTTTATCATGAAAGGAGCAAACACATTGACACTCGGTTTCATTTTATCCGAGAGTGCGTTGAAAAAGGAGTGATAAAGCTAGAGTATACAAGGACAGAAGTTCAGCTGGCCGACATACTGACAAAGCCACTAGGAAAGCATAGGTTTGTGGAGCTCAGAAACAGAATTGGAGTGCAGAAGACCAAAGAGGAGAAACAAGTTTAAGGGGGAGGTTGTTGTACTTAAACTTGTTAATTTTATTTATTACTACCTCCGTCCCGCTATGATTGTCCCATTTAAGGGGGAGATTGTTGTACGTAAACTTGTTATTTTATTTATTACTACCTCCGTTCTCGATCGGCTCTGATACCATTTGTACTACATTGGTCGTTAATTTTATTTATTACTACCTCCGACCACACCTCCCATTGAACTACTTTCCCAACCCTTCAAGGTCCTGGCATCGGCCTTGCTGGATCATCTCCTTAACATACCCCACACCGATCTCACTCCCTACCAGCAAGGCATCCTTACTGCCCTTCTCTCTGATCCGGACACCAAGG